TGTTTGTCATGTTCTGTCTTCTTCTGAATGGGTGTTCTGAACTGTAATTTCATTGTGCGCTGTACAATGACAATAAAGGTCTAAACTATACTCACCACAAAGGTTGTGGTGAAAGAAGGACAGATGTTGAGCCAACTGCCTTGACTGACTGAAAAAAAGCATTTTAAAGAAACTGACAATCTGCTTTGAATATCTTTTCATCACTTTTGCAGTTTCAACTGAATAAAACAATTGTACTAGTTTATGTTTGTCATAATCTGTCATTTCACTTCATAATGTTTTTTTAATTTTGACTAAAAAAAAGTAGTTGGCCTATCATAAATGAAACATTTTCCAAACTTGTGGTTTTGTTTGTTTTTGTCATTGCAGATCTTAAAGATGATGTCAACAGACATCGTTTCCAAGAATACCACAAGCCTGAGTGTTTGGAGTAACTTCACTGACTAGGTCCCCAACCACAAGAGCCCCTCTGCTGACCTTCGATAGTCAACAAAGTTTCTGCACCGGGAACAATGTCGACTACATGAGTTCAAACGCTCAGCAGCCCACATGTGAATCACTGAGGACATCGAAGAAGAAAAGAGGAAGAAAAGCTGTTGTTTTACAACCTTGGTATTAAATGGATGCTTTTATTCTTGAATCCTGTTGAGATGTAAAAAAAACATGAGACCAGCCTTAACACAATGTATGTAAGGATAATTTGAAAACAAAACAAAAACAGATACTTTTTTTCCAACAAGCTTCTTTAAAGTAACTCATGGGAGTTGACGTGTCTCATCCCCCCCGAAACTTTTCTCCAAGTCCTTTTTGAATAAGCTGAGGGCGACTCGAACAGCCCGAACGTAAAGAAGAAAGCGTTATAAAGTGCCCCCAGTTTATCATCGGCCCATGCACTTCCTATTTACATCTATAATCGTTGTTTTCTGAGTAATCGTCTTTTTAATTAATGGTGACGGAGGCGTGAAATCCTATCTGCCGTCCCCTTCATCGCTCTCCCTTTTCTGCTGCTCCCAGAGACACCTGGAACCAATTAACTACAGCTGATCTGGTCGTGGATTAGACACGGGGAGAGCAGGAGTGATTAGATACAAACATAAAAGAAGGGGAAAAAACAAACAAATAATAAAAAAAAGAAAGGTGCCTGAGAACAGAACAATAGTGGGAGAAAGGAGAGGTTAAAACAGGACCTGTCGGTCATCCCGGTGTTTGATGAAAGGGAGGATCAGGAGGTGGAGGGGGATATGGCCAGATCAGGGCGCCAACACGCTAAGATAATAACTAGCTGTGAGTCAGCAGGAAGAAGTGACTGCAGGAGTCCGGAGTCTTGACTGACGGGCACTCCTTTCGCCCAGGACTCGTTGTCATTCCTTGTGCTGTGCGGATCAGGGAAGCACGGAGCGAGCGAGGGGAGACACTGCTGGCTGGTCGCCACAATCAGGGCCAATTAGGGGAATTTGATTATATGCCTTAATCTTGGCAGTCAGGTGGAAAAGCAGACAGACAGAGAAAGAGGAGGCTGAGCAGGTGCCTCCGATACACACCATTATCTCCATCTATCTCTAATTGAGTTTGTTTCTGCCCCTTGTAGTGAGGACTCTTTTTCTCAGTGGCAAACAAGTTTTAAACGTTCAGAAAATAAACACAAGACGAAGATAAACATCAGCAAACACACGTTCACCTGATTTTTTTTTTCTTTAAACAAAAATCTGGAGAACTTTTATTCATTTTCCTCCATTCCTSCAATAAGTTTTGTCATCCCAGTATGGACTTTTCCCCTGCAGCCCTCTCTATCTCCAAATCAAGCCTGAGATAAAAGAAAGGAACTGAGGGAAGAGGAGGGGAAAGGCAGCGTGGTGCTGAATCTGTGGAAGGCAGCGCAGACTTTATTTCTTTTTTCAATCTCAGACACCCGGAGGCTCCTGCCAACTGTCCCCAAAGCTTCACTTCCTCCTGTTAAAAATTCCTCCTCTCCCTGGGAGCTCTTTCCTCGCTCTGCTTGTGGATGGTACGCTGCATCCTGGACCTCACCAAGATTAAAGTGGCCTCAGTTATCCGAGGAAATACTTTGATATCAGCTCCCGGTGTCGTCATCTTAATTCTGTGAGTAGCTCCGATTCCTATTCTATTTTGGAAGTATTATTTTTATTCATTTTTATGTCAATGTCTGCCCATCCTGTATTCTTTTTTTCTTCCCCTAGTTTCTTCACTTGAGTTTCTCCTGCTGAATCTGTTAAACTTTGTTACATTTACAACATCTTCTCATTTRTTTATCATGCACACATTGCAGTACCATAGTTATCTATTAGGAAAATATGTAATTATTTTGTTTTTTCATGCAAAAGTCACCATAAAATCAAAATTTTGGTACATAAATTACATAGTAAAAAATAAAAACTGTGAGATTGTTTGATCAAATTAGTTTGATAGTACATGTGAGAGAGTTTGATAGTACATGTGAGAGAGTTTGATAGTAAATGTGAGAGAGTTTGATAGTATGTGTGAGAGAGTTTGATAGTACATGTGAGAGAGTTTGATAGTACATGTGAGAGAGTTTGATAGTAAATGTGAGAGAGTTTGATAGTAAATGTGAGAGTTTGATAATAAATGTGAGAGAGTTTGATAATAAATGTGAGAGAGTTTGATAGTAAATGTGAGAGTTTGATAATAAATGTGAGAGAGTTTGATAGTAAATGTGAGAGTGATTGATAGTAAATGTGAGAGTTTGATAATAAATGTGAGAGAGTTTGAT